TCAAGTTGAACCATTTTAGTATTAGGTACTGCTAGTTTTAACCCATATTTCAAAATAAATCCACTCTAAGTGAATATTTTCGGTTTATGTAACCGTTTTTGACGCTTCCTCGAATCATGTAGGTTTGTATTCATGGCAGTAGTAAATTGTTGTAGTATCTTATTTTAAATAAAATTCACAGCTTTTTCAATACCCGTAGTGGAGTATTCTGTCTCTATTAAGTACATTATTTATGATGCATGTGTAATGCATCTTGGCCTATATTCTCCTTACATGTGTTATGTAAGTATTCTATACCGCTTTAATACGTACACGAAGTAGTTACGGAAACTCACTGCGGATTTCCAAGCATTGAACTTACACGAAGCTTTAGTTTTAACAGTAGGCCTGTTTACACTTACGTATGAAGAGTACACGCCTAGCTACCGTATCACGCCATTCCTTTTTTAATAATAGAAAACCAAAGCACAGAAAACAAAAAACTAATAAAAAAATATATAGCAAATAAAGGAATTGAGTTTTCTGACTTTGCGAAGGTATCTTTTGGCATTTAAATTCAAGTAAGAAACGGAAAAAGACATAATGTTTACGAAATTAATATTCTTGAAGCTTTAAAATTAATACATTCAAAACAGAAGGACATTACCGTTTTGTTTTTATTAAATTATAAAGCATAATACATTGAAAATTCGCTTTTAAGTATTCCCAAATTATTATGAATTTATCTAATATATCGATGGTCTAGAAGACAAACTTATTAATTACAGACATTGTAATTTTTCAGAAAAGCAGTTTAAATAAATTTTAAAGTTGACCCGTAAGTATGTAAAGCTGAGCAGTGTAATGTATCTTATACTTCCGTTATTAGTTAGGGTATTTATCTGTTATACAATTAATTTTAAAGAATTATTCTCAACTATAATAAGTACTGGGAAATACTCAGTAATATGATAAATTACATTCACTTAATACCTTTGATCATTATTTTGTATTCAGTAGTTCACTCAGTGCATTTGTGTATAGCATAATATGATTTTTAATTATTATGTAATTATTAGAAACTAAAATATTTTTTTAAATAAATATATTTATTTTTATAACATTCCACCTAAATTGGCATGTAAATTAGGTACCAATTTTAGGTTTTAGGTGTCAATTGCCTATCATTATAAAACACTTAAACTTTGTGTGAATTTCAATACTCATAGATAAAGTGGCTTAAAGCTACTTAATACATTTTGTCATTTCTATCATGGGTACATAAGCGACTTAGATTATTTTGATTCGTGCCTCACGTTTCTTATTACAAATATACGAGCTCGGTTTGGACCGAAAGAGATGGAATTATGGCTTTACGATATGTGAAGATGCGGCCTATTCATCTAGAATGTTTAGCATTAAAAAGTGTAAACCACAAAATTTTGCATTTAGCACGTTTATCTTCTAAACCATCGATATACTCAGTCAATTTTTTTCTTTTACACTATTCATTACAATGAAAAAACCTAGAAGCTAAAATTGTTATCATGCAGTCCTATTCTCCCGCGGTATAGTGACAAAACTCTGGCTGTGTTTCCTCCTTCTGAATGGCTATACTTAGACGTTAGGCGAGAAAAGACTAGAAAAAAAGAGAAAAAACAACTCAAACTTACTTGGCTGAATTTATAAATAAAATAAATAAGTACCATTAACAAATAAGTACACTTGCATTTAAAAGGTTTGAACTCTTTTTCTGATATAATGTACCCATTCCGCCTTCATATCTAAGACTCTAAATTGATTCTCTTACTTTAGTAACAGAAAGTTAGTGACCATATTTCATATAATTTAATATTCCTGATTGACTCAAAAAATATTGGTATTTACATCAAAATGAGCATGCATTTACAAATGAGGTTAAATGCCAAAATATTGCGATTATGGATATTTATTGTACACTTATCGCGAATAAATAAGATAGGTACCGCGAATACGTAAGCGTAAGTATGTGTAAGTTATAATCGTGTTTATTAATGCCTCCGTTGAGCAGTGCAATCACACGTATCTATTATACTAAAACAATAAACTTCAATGGTACCTACATGCAATTGCAGATAAATTCGTTGTCTAAATACTTCTCATGCATTGAAGATAAACATTAAAATATATTGTGTAGAAACTTTTAGTTCCTTATTTTTAAATTTTTCTAATAGTTATCGTTGCATCTATAATAATTAATAACAACAGTACTTTTAATTTATTTTATATTTAAATTAAATTTACCTCCGATTATTTGTTAAAATAATGAATAAATATTATAACTATAATAAAACAATAGCAGATTTATATACTATGAAATTGATATTATTTATGTATATAAATAAATATTGTAGACTCAAAAAAGAAGGAAAAAAAAACCAAGAAAAATTTTATTGTAAATGTTGCCAATAAGTAAAAATTGCTGCTAGTTACGTAAACATTTTTTCCTTTTCTGTGACCTAATTCGTCAATAATAATGTAACTGGTTTTAACTAAAACATATTGAGCTACTTTGCTTATTGAGATTCAATACTTTGCTTTTTTACATAAGGTAAGCTTAACGGTTTAAAAAGATAATTTAAAAAATCCGAATTGCGTTAAAAAGTTTACTGAAAAAACCTTCCCCTCCCTTTTTTGTATTTGCAAATGCAATAAATAATAATAATAATAATGCAATATAAATATTATATAACCAATATCACTCTCACAATTAAGACGAATCTAACGACACCTCACTTACCACCAAGCCGTTTAGGCTACAGAGCTTGCCAACGAAATAGACATAAATACATTCATACTCTCGAAAAACATTACAATCATGTTGAAAATAAATATCGTGGTTTACGTTTCATTTTAGAAAAAGCGCCAGCAAATACCACGGACTCTTATTAAGACGCTCTAAGAATTTTATTATTTTCTCTCCGTCTCAGAAGATAACAGTGTTGTTTACGGTTAGCTTTTGTGTCTTCTTCTTCATTCAAATAATTTGCAGAATTTCTTTGACATAGTGTTGGACTAACGTGATTTGTGTTAAAATATAAATAAAAAAGATAACACATAACGTTATGTAAAAATCATCGTCGATTAAGAAATGATGTTCCCTGTTTACTTTTTGTTTTTACAAATCTTACATGCAAACCTGTATATCAAAACCCTGAGTCATAAAAAATATGATATCTTAATATAAAGTTATAAGAAAACAAAACGGAGACAGAAAATTACTGATTACGTGATATTAAATCACTACTGTTATTATTTTGTTGTTACCATAATATTTAAATCAGTTACTAGACTCGATAAAGAATTAACTCTTCAAAAATTGAGATTTTATTTAACTTATATTTTGTAAACTTTATATGGTATCTGAAATTATAAATTAATATAAAAAAGTTGTTACGTCACGCCCCGACCTGAAATTTCATTGCATGATATGTAGTTAAGTAATATATTTCAAGGAAGACAAGGATTCTCCAGAATCATCGATCACTAATAAAAAACTAGACACACAATCAGTGACAAAAAATGTCCTTACCGAATGAGCGCCCACTCGAACATTTGGGTGCGCTTTTAATTTGTACGTAGCTTTGTGAATAACTTTAGGCAATGCATTTAAGGTTGAATTTACATTAATATATTTATTTCAACTAGAATTACGTCAAAACAATTGGCGACAGTTTTTAGAGAACTTTTGCATAGGATTATGTCTAGTTTTTTATTAGTGATGGATGTATAGAATTGACATTTATAATATACTAGAAGCGGCGATCTGTCACTCGTATTAGTGACCTTTTGGAAACTCATTAGAGGAGTTCTGACTCTAAGGGCTTTCTGAATTATATAATCCGAAAGGCTCTTGTCTCTATAAATGGTCCCTTGGTTTTAGAGCCTTGTCGAAAATTAAAAGATGATGGTGAGAGACTCAAAGTTATGACTTCCGCTCCTTAAGAGAGGCAAAGCACTAGCGTGGCTCTCACCACAGAGGAACCTCGATAAGAGCCGAAGCGGCATTATAGACGGCTGAGTTGTGTAAATATGAGTTTCTGAGAGATGACTACATATTTGTGCCATTTGCAGTAGAGATTGTAGAATTCACGTGCGATGTCACAGCCGTTGGTGATGGGACTTGGTTCTATTCACGCTCATAGACTAAGAATAGCTATTCAGCGAGCCAGGGTTCTTGACACTATACTGGGAGATGTAGGACTGTCTTGTGGTGAGAAATAGGAATCATAGTTTTAGGGAAGATTTTTTTTTATAATTATTATAATGAATAATGTATATTATTTGCTTTGAATAAAAATGTATATGGATAAAAGTATATCTAATACTGACATAAAAAATGCAAATTTTACTATCTGCGCCGTTAAAGCTTGTTAATTACATTTCGTATTACGAGTACATACATGTCTTATAAATCTAAAACGTTCGGAATGTTATCTAAAAATATGTATATGTATACAAGTGAGTGCGGTAAGAGGTAAATAGAGATAAATAAAACCTCACGACGACACGCTGTTGAAAAACATGCGGCCTCATTCTTAGCTTTTATCGCCACCGTGCATAAACTACTCGTATGCTCCCATAATGTTGACTTTTATGAATCGTTTGTTCCTTAGATGATGTCTAAGACCTTTGAATTCTTTGAAACAATATAGCCCCATTCAATAGTCCTTTATAAAAGCCTTATATTTCTTATTTCAACTTAAACCATACCATAGTAAACATATCGTTTAATTCATTAAAAGACAAAATTAGCTAATACAAGTTAAAGTAAATCAGATTACATATCGGAATCAGAGACGCCGGGAGACCTAAACTACGCATCTATGCAAAACACGGCAATCGCACTGCTGGAAACGGCATCGGCCTTCGAGAGAGCCGTGCTGGAATGTGAGCACCTGGAAGCATCGGAGCACGGGGGGTTCCGGTGAGAACGTTGGCGCGGCAGCGGCATGGATGAACGCGGGCCCCCTGACGTGCCGCTGATAGTGACCCCACCGGGAGTGTGCGGGGGCGGGGGTGGTTTGGGCGGCGGGACTGGCGCGGCTCTCACCATGTCGCGACGTATCGCATCCGCACGCGGCTCCCGCGACGAGCCCCCGCCTTCCACCTGGCGCTCCTCTGTGCGTGTGCGCGACACCGGTTTTCGAGGTTCCCGCAAAAGCGTCGTTCGCCTAGAACCACCCTGTAATGGCCTCAACGGGTTGCCCGCCATCGGCAAGGAGGTAATTTACGTTCAATGGCTGATTATTGCAACTATTACGACGGCAACGTCATGAAATTCTTAAATAAATATTCCATTAGATAAATAGTCCGTTACGAATCTCGATTTTAGAATAATTATTAAGATCTACAAAAAATTTTTATACTAACATTAATATTTATACGACACTAATTGTGCTATGATATTCGAAAGTTAGCACTCAAGTAATATCAATAAACTTAAAAATTTACCCGAAACTCGAACAAATTAATAATACGATTACAAAATACGAAATTTATTTATTTCCAAATGCATAGCAAACACACAACCTTTGTAGTTGTCTTAATTCGTCATTTTCAGACTTAACAATGCATTAATCTGTAGAACATCCAGATTCGCTGATGATGGGCAATATGATGCAATAATATGCTCAAGACTACTGCGACGGGTAATCCATGTTAAGGTTATAACATATTGACAATAGCAACTTTTAAAAAAAGGTTTTCAGGGAACTCTTTAGTGCCTAATGGTGACAATAACAATGACTGGTATGCTACTTAAATAGTTTGATTAGCATTTGAATGCCGATTCTTAAATGCTGATTCTTTGAAAGTACTTGCGATTTAACAAATATAAAGATTTTCGTACATTTTTTACGTGGTAAGGTAGTAGTATAGTTATAGCATGAACGGCTCAACCGGGGAAGGACCACGCTCTCACAGAGTACCAGCCTAAAATAGCAGGTTAACGTTGTTTTGTTTCGTATGGTGAGTGTAGAGAACCGGAGACCCTTTTTACTGGAAATGAGGCATTCCATCTTAGTCCTCACGGGTGACAACGCATCTGCATTTTGATTCTTATGCATTTGAGGATAGATGTGGATTAATATGTACCGCAGGAACCACTTAGCATCAGGTGGACGGTGTGCTCGTTTGTTACCCTTATGCTATAAAAAGAAAAGAAAATTAGTATTGTCTAATCTAATTCAAATAAATATCTCCTATACGGTATCTTGTCTCTACGTTAAGTTGTTTAACTACAGCAAAGTAACATCAAAATTCAGAAGGTTCAAGCAATTTGACTTTATATAATAGTTCGGTATGAAGTTTTTTTTTCAAATTTGTACGCAGTTTATTAAATAATCTCTTGATTGTAATATTTGTACCTGCATTGTAATAATTGTAACTGGCTTTTAATACCATTTGTAGTTCACAAACACTAACAGTAACTTGGTCCTAAGAGGTAACAACACTTGTATTCTTCTTTGTTTAAACTTGGTCACATGTGTTAATATGGGCTGTATTAGATACTTACCATTTACTGTAATTTTAGCTTGTTTGTTTCAAATTCGTTTATGAACCCAAGTAAATATTTTAAAATATAATTTCTGTGACAGAAAAAGTAGATGTCATTACTAAAACAGTGGAGCAAGTTCGACAATTCAACGTTGTGTAGCATTTCAACACTGCTAACGACTGACTCAAATATTATTTTTACTTAACTGAAATACACTGGTTTTAAGTAAAAGACATTCAATTTAAGCGAAAACTAACAAGTTTTTGATAAGTGGAGAAATGGATCACATACGACAAGAAAGAACGTGGTTAAAGCGCAGACAAGTTGCACAAACAGTGAATTTGTAGTTATCGTTCATTATGAACTTTTATCGTTGGATCAAATCATGGATTAGTACCTCTACTACTAACAGGTAATAACATTAAGTCATGCAATTAAGAAGGAACGACCTGACCCCATAAACAAAAAAGGAGTAGTCTATCGTCATGGTAACGCCAATCTACACCCCTTATAACATGTTATATGCGTACGTTATCAAAATGGGTAAGTACTTCTGAGTTCGAGTACTCTAGCAGTGTCATAATAAGTCGTAGTTTACAATTTCTGATAATATGAGGAAGTTGTTGTCTTTGTGAAATTTGATTATAAAACATCATCATAATATAATTCACAAAACTTTTATTTTTTATTGTAATAGGTACGTGTTTTTTAAAAATAACATAGAATTTATTATATCTATATATAAATGAGCGCACTAGAAATATTTTACTCTCGTTAAATGTTGAAAGTCCAACAAAAACCATTTAAGAATATATTTATTTAAATAAAACCCAACACAAAGTGTAAGTAAAATCGAGCATAATAGCTTTTCGGATATTCATCCAATCCAGACGGCTTCGTAGTGCATTAGCTTAGCAATGACTTACGGTGCTGATTACCACAACTACGAATCTCGCACGGAACAAGTATAAACGAATGAATGAAAAATTCTTTATTGTACACTAGAAAAATATATATATGAGAAAAGTAATTATTTCAAGGTACAATTAGCGGCCTTATTGCTTAAAAGCGATCTCTAAAAGGCAACCACATTGCAGAGGATATAATAACGTGTGGGAAAGGTATACGTAAGTTGCTAGAAAATACGACATAAATATAATTATATAAATTCGATAAATACATACTATATTAACAATATAATAAATAAATACATTTCATTTACAATAATATTACAATACATATACAAGAGCAGAAAGAAATGAACAAGTATTTTAAATAAAAGCTCGTTAGGAAAAATAAGTAGTAATTTTTAAATGAACGATGTCAATGAGAAATAGTGGAATGACTATTTAAGGAGGAAGGAGTGCACTTTGACAAGTTTTTAAACTTTTCAGTAGATTGTGCACTTCTAATGTGCAGCCTTCTAATGTGCACTTGTAAGTTCAATAGCGAAACAGCTTCAATAGAAAAGGATTTAGAATAAAAGGATGTATTACGGGACGGAATTTTTAAGGTGAGGTTTTTATCAGAGCGAAGAGAGCGACAGTGAGTGTCACCAAGAAACTCAAACCGCACCTTAAAGTAAGCAGGGGAAGTAGGATTAGATAGAATACCGTATTAAAGAGTAAGAATGTGAGTATTCCTGTGAAGACGGATCAGAAGCCACTTGAGTTTTTCACGAAATTCGGAAACATGGTCATATATTCGAAGTCCAAATATAAAAGTATTTGGTTGGCCTACAAATAATTTTCCAGGTTTGGATGATCCTTGTGCAATTTTTTTTATAGGATAGGGTGACAAACGAGCACACAGTCCACCTGATGGTAAGTGGTTGCTGTGACCCATAGACATCTACATCTATCCTCAATAAAGACTCAAAATGCAGATGCGTTGTCACTCGTGAGGACTAAGATGGAATGCTTCTTTTCCAGTAAAAAGGGTTTCCGGTTCTCTACACTCACCATACGAAACACAGCAGTGTTAAGCTGTTATTTTACGCTGGTATTCTGTGAGAGCGTGGTCCTTCCCCGGTCGAGCCGACCCATTCGTGCTACAACTATACTACTAATATAGCTGCAGCATGGCTCTACCACGTAAAAATATGTAAACAGCTATAAATCTACATACACAGGAGAAAACCCTAGTGTGGGTACTGTTATTTAAAAAGAAAAATATTATGCTTGTGTAACTCAACAAAAGTTTACTAAGGCAAATATTTATTTATATATTTATTTATATATATATATATATATATATATATATATATATATATATATATATAATTAGTAGCTGGCCAGGCAGACGTTGATCTCTGCTCTCTCCGACGACCCTGTGTCCTATAAAAATTATTAAATTCGTAATAACTAATATTGAGGGTCACTTACAGGGATAAAAACTATACTATCTCTCAAGTTGGACCAAACTGCACACAGTGTGCAAATTTTCATTGCAATCAGTTTAGTAGTTTAGGAGTTCATTGCGGACAAACAATGTGACACGTAATTTTTATATATAATTATTATTTATTATGATCAGTTAAGATTCAGCTCGTACTAAAGAAACTATTGGTGAATCTATGGCTCCAAAGTCTTAGCCAGAGATCTGTCTGCCAAACAGAGCCAGCTTCTGTGTAAGTCTGTCATTTACGACCTGAGATTTCAAGCGAGAAGTTCATGGGCAGCTGTACATATCGTTGTTGGAGCCACAAGCAAGTGACCCAAGATCAAGTCTCATCCGACGCTATACCGTAACAATATAATAACTCTGAGGGAGACCAGAATGGCTCTTCGGCACCTTTAAAACGGTAAACATAGGAAAACCGGTGAAAGAACGCTACATAGGCTCTTTCAGAAGCTGTTCAAAAATGTCCTCCATAGTGGCGCCACTTCGGAAGCGTGGTCATGTTCTTCAAAAATAGCGAAAACGCTGTATTTTGAAGAGCTATAAAGAGTAATAGATAAATATGATGGCAAAATTTATGGAGTGTTTAACTGTGTTATTAGGATTTCAGGAAAAAGAGATCTACGAGTTACAATGTTATAAGTCGTAACAGCTAGCCGCATGTGACGTATATATTTATGATGTTTTACTTTACTTTACTTACCGCTTAAGCCAGTAACTAATTCAGTGCATGCTCAAATTACCAATAAATTGATTACGGGGGGCTAAAAAATATGGCATATTCGAAATTTGTAAAAACTACGTCAGGTACGCTTCTCAAAAATATTAGTTACTAGTTTACTAAAGAATGGGAATGGGCAGCAGCATCCAACAACTAAAAAATTAAGAACTGCGTTTGCCAACCCGATTTCCAACCCTAGCAACAATGGCAAATGTCCCTCCTCTTAGGTAATCTATATGGGAGGCCTATGTTCAGCAGTGAATATTTTATAGGCTGCAAAGGTAATTATATAAAATGATAGGTCTTTTTATATAAGAAATATAATTTACGTTTTAGGGTTCCGTACCCAAAGGGTAACCAACGGGACCCTATTAATAAGCATTCGCTGTTCGTCTGTCTGTCTGTCAGCGGGCTGTATCTCATGATTCATAATAGGTAAACAGTTGAAATTTTCACAGAATGTGTATAATGTGTATTTCTGCTGCCTCTATAACAAAAATTAAAGGTGGCTCCCCTACAAGAAACGTGTTTTACGATGTACGGAACCCTTCATACGTGAGTCCAACTCCCACTTGGCAGCTTTTTTCTTAGTAAAATGAACATTT